AAAACTAGCTTCTTGGGTTCCTGGTCAGAAACTGATGGGAACCTCTTTTGCGAAGGATTAGGGGCCTTACGTCACTCTCTTCTCTTGAGGCAACACCATTACCGCAATGCTATGCAGTGTTCGTGGTGTAGTGGATAAAGTACTCAGCTGATGTACAGAAGGTAACCAGATCAAATCCCACTGGTGACACTAACTTTTTGTCAAAGATTTTGCTTAGAATGTGATTACTTCTTAACTGTACATCTGTTGTTAGAATTTGAGGCATTTATAATTTTATTTTATGAACGGAACTATTTTTTCGAAACCTTCATTCGACTTTTTTCTTATATCTTTTTTATATTATCAACAAGTTTGGTTAGTTAGGTTAGGTTATGAGAGTTTTTTCTTAAATCGACGTGAGGGGCCACAATCCCCCACTCCTTCGCAGAACAGGTACTCATCGGTTCTCAGGGGTGCCCACAGAATGATTTGATAGCGCGAACTGCGCTATACAATTCAATTTTGGGGGGGGGGGGAATTTGAGATTTAATGATGTTTTTTTAGATTTGGGGGGGGATTAAAAAAATACAACTTTTTGTCAACAAATAAATATTTTTAGAATGTATGGGCATTAAAGACAAGCAGTGCTCACAATCAAGCATAAATATAAAACATAACACAACTCGTCAGGTTTAGCATGGCCGGTGAGATGCACTAGCACTGTACTGGCGGCAACCGAGTGGCGAGTGAGCTCGCTAGTGTAGCTTTGTTTACATCCCGATTTCCGCCGCCCGTGTTAACGTGTATGTTGTTCACCAACCGGCAAACGGGTTGTAGTTGTATGAAATATTTTAACAACTAATAAGTTACGGTAACACTTTTAGTAAGTTTCGTAATATTATTACAGATTTATGAGAGTATGTAGCCATACTACGATTTTGTCGGTTTTAGTAATCATTTAAATTTAAAGGTGTGTTGATGGTGTGGTGATGTTATTGTGAAGTGGGTGTTCAAGGTTCAAATGGGGTTAGGCCTACTTCAACGGTACTGCAATTTTCAGAATTGTGAGTTTGTGAGTTTTTTTTTGTTATTATTTTAAAATGCAGTTCTTGCCATGATTTAAATTTTAAATTTACAGACTAATTGTATGTTTGTAGATAGATAGTTTTGAGTAGGCCAATGCCTATTAGTTTGGAATTATTTACTATTTTATTAACATGTTTAGTAGACGAGTAGAGTAGACATAACAGAAACACTAGACCTAATAAGTAAAATACTTGAAGGAGTCTACTAAATTAATAGAATTATTTATACTTTCAACAAAATATTAGTTATATTTTAATACATTAACTCACAGTTGTGATGATTGACACACGGTAGGCCTAACTTAATTCCGTTTAATTTTAGCTTTGGAAAATTATTTAATTGGATAAACTTTTAACATTAAACTTTTCTAACCTCGCTCTTGAGGAAAAATTAACAAATAAAAAGCTAGGATCTCACCAACTATCTATATAAAGGCTTTAAATTTTCTCAAGAAGATGGTCCTAAGAAAATTAGAACATTTTGCACTTCTTGGTTTGAGAAAAAACCTTGGCTTACGGCAAGTGTGAGCAAAGGGAGTCTGTTTTGTTTTTATTGTATATTGTTTGGGAAGAAGAGTAATAGAGACAAACTCAATTACGACAAACTCGCGATAAACCAACGTTTTCAATACTAAGATGAAGAAAATAACGTACTATTTTTTAACCAAACCAACTTCTAATCAGGTGCCTCAAATTATAAAAACCCATCTATTTTATGTCTAAAATTTTATAAGCCATGTTTTACTTATCCTGTATATTAGCTGTTTGTAGCGTGGCAAAAAGTATCGTAGGCGACTCACCAGGGAAAATGTTAAGTGTACTCACAAAAAATCCTGTCTTGTGCTTCATAGTAAACCACTGTTATAGTCCGTTCACAAAATTTAGGCGGTTTAGGGGGAAGGTTTCCAGGGGTTCCCCCACCACTTTTTTAGGTTAATGTATTTATCAGCTGATCAGCTGTCGGCTGTTGTTTAAAAGTGAAGGTACGGCGGAAGGGATGCACTTCCCCTCAAATCGCCTAAATTTTTTGAACGAGTATATCACCCAGAGTCCAGTATCCCCATACAGTAGCTATACCATAGCTATACTATTTTCTTGCCCCCATGTCATAACAAATTAAAATATACTCAACTGATTTTTGATTTACTCAAACCTTACTTAACATACTCATCCCTTTAAACTTAATATATTATGACACATTACAGATAGTGATAGAGTAAAACATCATCCACATGTGACAACAGACATTGGACAGTGTTGAAGTCCATGCTAGTTCGTCGATAACCGTCTTAGGAATAATCTTAATTTATCAATTCTCGTGTATATTAGCTGTAGATTCCTACAAAACGTGTTCCAGAAGATAATTATTTATAGTAAATGAAAGACTACACAACACAATATTTAAAGAGTTCTGTTTAAAATGTCACTAGGTTGTGTCTCAAGGATTGATACAAATTTCTATATCCCATACATGGTCCGCATCTTTAAAAATTTGCCAGCATACATAACAAAAAACTAAATAAGTTTAAATTTAAAAAAAAATTTAAATTTAAAAATCTTTCCTTTAAGAATAGTTTAACCCATTCTTTGTTCGGAAAAATAATTATTACTTTCCTTTTTTATTTTAAAACTATTTATTTAAAAATTATGTAACATATTATTGTAACCACATAATGACCTGTTTCTTACCTGTTTCTGTAACAAAGTTCATGAATCAAGAAAACAATATTCGTCCCGCTCAAAGTAAGTTTGCTTACCTTGAATCCCAACAGGTCCAGCATGGCGGTCTGGTCATGTTCACGAGGACCAATATGGCGAGTTACAAACTCATCCTTTGGGAAGAGTTTGTCCAGCTCCGAGTTTCCCAGCGAGCTGCACTGTCTGACTAGAGTCGTACCATTTAACTGCAACCTTGCTACGACACATTTGTACCTCATCGCGACTCTATACATGTTGACTGGCCTGGCCGGCAGCTAACAGATGAATGACGACTGGCTGATATTCGGCAGCATGACCCGGTTTATCAGCCTGCCCTCAAATGCTGATAAATCAAGTGGATTTTGTGAATTTCTGAATTTGTCGCACAGTCTTCCCTATTGCTTTACATTTAACTTAAGATTTTTCACTTTGGTATATCTTGCATGAACATAGTAAATTTTTTCAGTGTAAAATATTTAAAAATGTAAGTTTCAGATTAATTTGTTCAAAGATTTTTAGCGAATTTCCCATATAGGGAATAAGCTATTACCGTAGTACTCATGGCAAGACCTGGACCCGGTACCGATTTATTTTTTCGTTTTGAGGTTCCTAGAGGCCCAAAACACCATCCGTTCAAATTCATATATATATATATATATATATATTTATATATATATATTTATATATATATATATATATATATATATGTGTCCGTTAGCACGATAACTCGAGCAAAAATCATCCGATTTTGATGAAATTTGGTACAAACGTGTAAACCTACATTTATTCGAACGAGTTCGCGAACCAGCATGATCGGACTATGGGAACGGGGGTTTATGGGGGGTTTTATGGGGTAAAAATAGGTTTTTCCCATTTTTTACCCTAAAAACACAAAATTTTACAATTTCTTTTCACACCATTTTGTAGAGCATAAAAAAACAAATAATTTAGTATATTGAAGCGTTGTTGTGCGCCTAATGGTTACGGAGAAAATTCCAAAAAACTGTAAATTTAAAATCCCCATGTTATTCTTATGGAGAAAAAGTCAACTGTTGTAGTTTGCTTGTTTATGAACATATTTTGATCGAATTTGGAAAACACATTAATTTCTTACTAACCTATTAACATAAAAAAACGACCTTTTTACCCTCCCTGTTGCAGCAAACCTAAGTACTCGTTTAAATAATTCTATTTAAATAGGGAATAAATATGATATTTTTAAGGAGACATTTTAGTGTAAATCCTATCAGGCTAATGGAAATTCGCTTAGTCTGCAGGTTTGCGGCGGCGGGGGTATTTAAGTTATAGAATAGTCTTAACCACTAGAGACAACCAGTATGGATAGAAGAAAAAAAATACTTACATGGTTTGAGTTTTGATTTATAATTTATTTGAAGTTTATATCATGTAAATGATAATAAATATTGTTTATAGTAACAGTCATTAATCAAGTTACAAGTGTTTAAAAGTGATGTTCAATAGCAGTGGAGAAGGTATAGTCTAATGATTTACAACAATGTTTTTGAGAAGAACAAATGTTTCCGTGCCTAGAACTTATTCAACATTTTTGAAAAATTTCCAGACACCTTATTGCAAATTAAAATTTAAATATATTCTATAATACTTTACTTGGTAATATTATGTTTGTAAATCTTTTTTTGATCTTGTACAATTACATAAATTCCTATATTTTTGATTTATTTAATATCTATATTACTAAGTCTGGTTTTCAAAACTCATTCTAGTAAGTCTTATACAAATTAAGCCATGATCTTTTTTCACAAATTGTGAACAACATTTAATAAATTGTACATTTAATGTTATAAATTATCAAAAGCCAGCGTGAAATCTTCTTTAGTGTTTGACATGCAAGAGAATTGTTTTTGCACAACAGGTCTTTGTACATCAGGCTTTGTTGTTTTATTTTGTGTTATTCTTCAAATGTAAGTTAATAGGAAAATTCACATTTTCCAGTTCAATGGATTTTATATAAATACCGTACTTTAACACTGAAAAATAATTTATCGATTTGTAAGCAATACATTTTAATTTTAATAAGCCTTATTTAACATACCTGTATGTAAAAATGCTGAAACCAAATATTAATACAAAAGAAAATAAATAATTGCACATAAGTCAACAAAATTTAAAAAATAAAAACAAAATAGTTTTTCATTCAAGCAATAAACATGCATGGAAAAGAATCAATTTAGATTCTTAATGAAAAGTCCCTTCTTAATGTAAAAGATCTAAGCTATACACTTAAGTTGAAGAAAAAAACAAAGAAATATAATAAAATGAACAGTTGAGAGAATAGGGACCTACAGAAGAAGTTAAACATTATTTTCTATATACAACAGTTTATACAATCCAATTATGCTATTCATAACTGTATATATTTTTCCATTGTTTTTTTTTTCACCGAATGTAACTAATATAAGGGCAAATCACCAATTCACAAAAAATATTTACAATCTTTCAGATAGCTCCAATTTACATAATGTAAATCTTTACGATTCCAGATAATCTTCTAAAAGATGTGGCTCAAAGCCGTTGAGTTCTTCAGTCTCGTTCATGTAGACCACACTCTCATGTATCTCCATGTGTCGGTTGAACTTGATTGGTGACTTGAACACTTCTCCGCAGATAGGGCAGCGTAATAGCTTTGACTTGGAGTGAGCTGACTGCTTGTGCTGAGTGAGATCCAATTTCCTCATGAACGCTTCGTCGCACATATCACATTCATAAGACCTTCCTTGCCCGTGTGTCTGAATGTGGACCACGTAATTAGCTTTGTGTCTGATGGTTCTCCCGCAAATCGGACACTCGTGGGGCTTTTCGCCAGAATGGATCATCATGTGCTCTTTTAAAGTGGCTTTTGTCGAGAGCCCTTTCCCACAAGTTCTACACTTAAACTGCGGATTCCTCGGTCCCTCGCCTCTCCTTTTAGCTCGGACACTACCTTTTTTTGAATGAAGCTGCGAGTGGTTGTACAGAGTTCTCTGTGATTTGAATACTGCGTTGCAGATTTTGCAAACCAAGGGATTGCCGGATGCGTCCACATGGTATTTGAGATGTTTCTCAAAATCACTCTTTTTTGTGAACGCTTTGTTACACTTTTTACACTTGTACGTGCTGACAACTGCATGTCCGTTAACGTGAACGACCAAGTTTGCCTTATGTCTAAAATGCTTCCCACAGAGTAAACATTCATGAGGTTTCTCACCCGTGTGAATCATGATGTGCTCTCGCAGTGTTGATTTTGTTGACAGAACACGGCCACAAAACTCGCATGTAAGAGTTCTCTGTCTTTCTTCCAGTATCTGAAGTTCTTCTTCTGACATGTCTTCGTGACATAGTGAGTGGTTGGCCAATTGTTTTTGAGATGGAAATATTTCACTACATATCAAGCATACGAAATAGTTATCGCCAAATTTAGCTGCTTGTGAGTGCCCTCTACAATTCTCAGAGCCACATATGTGACATAAACCTTGGTACGCTTCTTCTTCTTCTTCATACTCATCATCATCACCGACATGAAGAACAGTTACTTCCTCCTGCTCTTCCACACCATTCTCTTCCTCCTCCTCGAGAGTTTCAACAGCTTCATAATAGTCTTCCTCGTCATTTTGTTCATGGACCTCCTGGTCATTTTGTTCATAGTCCTCAAATTCTTCCATAGTCTGCTCAAACTCCTCTGCAAGAGTGTCTTCAAATCCTTCTCCCTCTACGTCTGGCAGATTCATTTCCTCTGGTAATTGCAAGTCCCCTATTTCAGCCTCTTTTCCATCCTCATAATCGACATTGGTCTCCTCTTCTTGGTCTGCCTCTTCAACTTCATTATTCTTGGTCTCAATGACGAGCTTATTAGAATCAGGTTTTGAATAATCTCCGTCGTTCAACACCTGTTTAACAAAAGATAACAGTTGACTCACACTGTATTCACACGGGGTATTAGGGGGTTCAAGCAAAGTTAGTTAGAACTGCTACCATTTTTTAGGGGTGTGCGATGCATTGAAAATGCATTGAATCGCAGTGGTGGTCAAAAAACTATTCAATTCATGAGGGAGTCAGTATCCATATACGAAAAACACCTGCAGAAAGTCAATGCAATGTGAAATACAGGAGCGTGTTGTTGTTGAGTTTCCTTTTTGCAGGCGTTCTTATTTAATTAATTCTTTGCATGTAAATATTGCTTTGTTTGATTTTTTTTATTTGACATTGCAAATGATGAGAGGTTTTGTTAAGTGTAAGCAGTGTGAGACATGTTTTATTACTGTAAACATAACCAAAACAAGTGACACCAAGATCATTAAAAAAATAACACAAATCTGAAAATTTGTAACTTGGTACTTAACTACTAAGATTTATGTTTTAGACTGATAAATTTGCTATTTTTGTAGGTCTGACGCTATGTATACTTTATAGTTTGTAAGTCTGATTCTATCCTCTCATCTTATTAATGTAAACGATTGAAAGTTTCAGTAATAATCTTACAAATGTTTTGATTTGTTTACACCAAAACATATTTTTATTTGTAAAATAAATATTATAAAATAGGTAACATGTTTAAAAATATGATTCTGCAAGTAAAAATCATGAAATAGGCAAGTAAAGCAGCTCATTGACATGTCCAGCAATACAGGTTCTTCTAATATACGATTGAAAATAAATATTTTTCACCTAAAATTCATATATGTGATGTATGAATATATATGTAAGGCCTAATACCTCATCAACAAAAAATTGCATTACACAAATAAATTTTAATTATTGTTAATTCACTTCATTGATAAGTATGAATATAAAAATGCCGTATTGCTTCAAAAGCGAATCAAAAATCTTTTGAATCAAATCAAAAATCTTTTGAATCGAATCGTTGCTTCTGATCAATATTTTTTGCTGCATCACACACCCCTACCATTTTTTTTTTAATTTTGTGTTGGCCCTACCCACTGAATACCGCACAAATAATCGGTCCACTAATTGCAATTGTATAACAAATACACACACAAAATTTGTTTTGTATTGTTTTAAAAACATAACACTAACTATCGTACATCAAGAACTGACAGGGATACTTGGTCATGGTTAATAGAATAATACTGAAAGATTTGATATGTCTATCTTTGTAGCTAACAAGATAAATAAACAAGACCAGTCAATTCTTGTGATAAAAATGCGATAAACGCAGATGTGCACCACTGAGGAGATCACGATAATAGTAAACAAAAGAGTCACCAACATTCTGTTGTGACTGTGAGCCGTGACTATTTCCACCGGGCGAATGTCACGACTCATGATCAATGGTTCAAGTGTTTTTTTTATAGTAGGCTAGTTCAGTGTTTCTCACTCCACGACCCCGAACAAGGCTGTGGGTTTTGTTCTTATTACTCCCACCGCCGACGATTCAGAGGCTCCGAGACTTTCGTTAGCGCTGCATCGGCATAAATTTTGCATCGTCTTTCATCTTAATTTTGTAGTATGTTTGCGTTGTATTTTTGCCTTTTCCTTACTTGTGTGAAGATATTCTCTACTATGCAGTAAATTAAGAGCGCCCAGCGCGCTTGATGGGTAAGTTTGGACTATTTTCTGATACTTAGGTTAGTGCACATGTTGCACTAGGTCTGGAACCTAGTCTTGGGGTCGTGGAAGACTTTTGATAGTTAGTTTCCCTTTTCTCTGTGGTTTTGTATAATTCAGGGGCTTTGCCCGAAATGCTAGGCCTAGAATTGACTGAGAAATGTTTGTTGGAAGGCCGCTATTTGAGAGAAACTGCCAAGTCAGTTTTGGGTCCTTCTGACTGTTTTGTGGTAGGCCTAGGCTTACAATTTTTGCTCAGTAAATGTTATTGTCTTAGGCTACTACTCTGGTAGTCTTTTGTTTCTGTGTCCCGTACAATTTTTAGTGTTGTTTTGTCTTGTAAAATGTTCAGTTTGTGTTACCCAGTCAAGTAAGGTTAAAGTCTTTTATTTTGCTTTGTCCTTGCCAAACTAGTTAAATTAAGTTGAATTAACTGCTCTTAAAGCTCCCCTGAAAGTTTGAGTCATTTTACTCAAGTTTTAAGAAAGTTACAGTAGCTTTTAGTTTGGCAACTTTTCATTCAGGTTTGAACTGGGTAACCAATAGGCCAACTGGTTTCAGCCTTTGAGTTAAGGTTTGGAATGGTCTGGAAAAGCTGCTGGAACGTTTCCCCCAGCTTTTAAGACCATTCCGAACAAATTCTGATCACAACTTTTGGAGAAATTAGCAAAAATACATGAGTCGTTGCGTTAGGCCTAAATTTTTGTATGGAACGTTTTTGTCAATTTTAAAGTATTTTTCTGTGTTTAAGTGTCAATTGTTCTCTGTTAACTTGTTCTTCTGGCCACTTTGGACCAGGCAATTTAAATATTTTCTCTCTATTGGTGAAATTTATCACTGTCACATACCCGTATAGTCTGCTGGCATTTTTACCGCAAATTAATGTTACCATTCTTGTACTGTTTAACCTGTTAGTTGTTTTATTTAAAATATTGTTATTGTTTGAAATGTTTTATTTTGTTAAAGAGCTGTGATAGAGAGACAAACCTTGTAAAAATTTAGAAACTTTTGAAATAAGCAATTGTTAGGCCTAATCAGTGAAATTTTGGAACTCAGTGAAATTTTGGAACTAAATGTGAATGGTGAAAGCTGTGACAGTGAACCTTGCGGATATGGACTCAGTCTATTATTCTTACTACCTTGTTTTCTGGGTTTTGCCACTCAGGGCCCGTGAGGAGGAAAATGACTGACCATCTTCAGCGGAGAGGAATGTTGCGACTAGGCTGGCGCTGCATATTGGCCCCCTCTCCGCCCTGCCTCTTCGCCTCCCCTTCTGGGAGTGTTGTGCCTGTGACCGAGCCTCTGCTGCGGGGGATTGCGGGCCTTGCTACCATGGGCGTGAAAGCGGCGCGCTCAACTTGCCCACGTCTCAACATCTTCATAGGTTCCACGGTGCAGAAGGCCCTAGTGGATTCTGGGTCAGCCCGTTGCCTCATTTCCTTGTCCCTTTTTGAAAACCTTGAATCGTCTGGGCTTATCAAGCAAGTTGAGCGAAAAACCCCTATCTGCTGGACTGCGTCAAATTCACCCCTTCCCATCATCTATGAAGCCCGTTTCAAGTTCAAAATTGAACATTTTTCTTGGGTTTGGAGTTTTTGGGTGGCTAAGGACCTTTGTTTCCCTGTCATTTTAGGAGCGGATTTTATCAAGCACACTGGCCTAATTTTGGATTTAGGCAGAGGTCAGTGTTTTTTCCGATTTGCGAGACGGGTATTAATATCTTTTGCTGATGAAATTGGTGGTGGTGCTGCGGTAGTCGAGCCTGAGATACCCAGCAAGCCAACAATTGATCCGTTAGGGCATCTGACTACTTGCGAGGCTGAAGCCATCAGAACCTTGTGTTCTCGTTTCCCAGATGTGCTGACGCCAAAGCTTGGAGTCACTAACCTGTTGGAGTACGAGATTCGTCTAACAGATACCCGTCCCGTTCGCTCTCACCCATACAAATTAGCTCCACCCAAAATGGAAACTCTCAGAAAAATCATTGACGAACTTCTGGAAAATGGTGTCATTGAACCTTCCCGTTCGAGCTACGCTAGTCCAGCCTTTCTCGTCCCAAAACCCAATGGCAAGTCCCGAATGGTTTTGGACTATCGCAAATTGAATGCGCAAATTGAAATCGACTCTGTGCCTCTCCCCGATTTGCATTCTGCGTTTGATTGGTTCGGTAAGGCCAAGTATTTTTCTGTTTTTGATCTGAATCAGGCCTATCATCAGATTCCTTTGAAACCTGAGTCTCGACCTCTCACTGCTTTCTGCGTTCCGTGGAATTTGTATCAGTTCACAAGAGTTCCGATGGGTCTTGCTGTGGGGGCCCAGACTCTCACCAGACTCCTTGATTCCATCTTTCATGATGTCAAGTTCAAGTTTGTGTTCAATTACCTCGACGATCTCTTGGTGTACAGTGAGAGCTTCGAAGATCACCTGATTCATCTTGAAGAAGTCATGAGTAGATTGAATAGGGCTGGCCTTACCGTGAATCCTGACAAGGTTAGTTTTGCAAAGCCGGAAATTTCGTTCCTTGGTCATCTTATCTCTCATAGAGGCGTCTGCATCGACCCCGCTAGAACCCAGGCTATCAGGGAGTTTCCTCCTCCCAGAGATGTCAAGGGTATTGCTAGGTTCATCGGCATGGTAGGTTTTTACCGACGCTTCATACCCAATGTTGCTGAATTGGCGGCTCCTCTCAATGAGCTTCGGAAGAAGGGCGCCAAGTTTGTCTGGGGTGAAGCGCAGCAGACGTCTTTTGATCTTCTCAAGGAGGCTATCATGCAGCCCCCTGTTTTGGCGATGCCGGATTTCAATCAAAACTTTGTCTTGCAAACAGATGCTTCCTCCGTCGCTATTGCGGCTGTGTTGTCACAAGAGGTGGATGGTGTTAGGCAGCCAATTGCGTACGCCTCACGCACTTTGAGTCCCTGCGAAAAGAAAAGCTCTTCTGTGTATGAACTCGAGTGTTTGGCTGTCGTGTTTGGAGTCAATAAATTCAGACGCTTTTTGGAGCACAAGGAGTTTTTATTGGAAACCGACAACCAGGCACTCTCGTGGCTTCTTGCACATCCACGCCAGCTTGGGAAAATTGGTCGTTGGGTTGTCCAAATATCGTCCCTTAAGTTCCAAGTGCAACACGTTCGAGGCACTCAGAATGTGATTGCGGACACACTATCTAGGATGTACCATTCACCCGACGATCCTCCTTCTGACCAAGAGCAACCGGGTTGTGCCGTGCTCTTGGAGTTTCCACTCGCCTTTTCTGATTTCATTCCCCATCAGCTGAAGGATCCTGAGCTGGCAAAGATCATTGGTGAGCTTCAAAATGGGG